TTCAGTCATGCTTCAATCTCAAACACAGCAGGGGCTCTATAAAACAAACAAAGCACTACCAGGGCAACTCTGTGGAATGGGTCAATACTCTGTGAATCTAAGTGTGTGAGTATAAAAGTACGTTTACCCCGGGCCCTCTATCTGGTTCTCTTTGACTTCTGGGTTCCGAGAAGGTAGAATGAGTATCTGTAAAAGGAAACAAAGGCAGTTTTAACACAAACAACATAGATAAGAATATTGTGTGAAAAAAAGGTTTAACGATAATAGTACCTGGATTTTTCACTGTAACAAGGTTTCTGTTGATCATTGCAAAGAGAGCTCTGAAAAAAAAAATTAAATGAAAATTACAAATGAAACTCTCCTTTTTCATATAGCAAATTTCACTTTCAATTCTTAAAAAAAACAGGTAGCATATGAAAAAAGTAATATATATTTGTATATGCTTTTTTATCTACACTGGCCCACTATCTGTTTCCAAAGGTATCCAAATACCTTCTGCAGCCACTTCATATTTTAAACAGGTGACAACAGACCCTTTCAGAGCGAGTAGGTCAAATGTCTAGAAAGCTGCCACCTGTTGCTTTAAAGCCCCACTCTGATATTCCCAGAGGTCATTGGTACTACAGCTGCTCTGCCTTAGAGAAATCAGAGAGTCAATACACACCGGGGCTCTTTGACTGAGAAACTTTTCACCCCGAGAACAGCACCAAGAGCATCCTCTCCACAGTGAACAATGTGTTGCTGCTGCTTGTCATATAACTCCTTGCTCATGATATACTTCCCCAAATAAAACATAACCTAAAAACACAGAAAGAGAATTTGTTTAGAGATCAACAGGGAAACCATTTCCTGAAACATACTGAGTGTTGACAGAAAGAATGGTAAAGATGTGGTTATATGAATATTCAATATAGAGGAGAATGCATTCCTGTTAGTCAGACAACCACAACTTCCACCCACGAAAAAAATGACTCATACCATCACAATAGAGTTGACAACAGATGAATATATTTCAAACAACATCAAATATCAAGAGTAAATTGGCATACAAATTATTTATATTGTTGCATATTATGAATGAAAGTTAGAAATTACATTTTGTATCTGTTGAATGATGGCACTTGCCCATGCAAAAGCTACTGCCATGCTGTCAGTGCATTTTATATGGTTGATAAGGTGTTCTAAATGGTTTCGGACTAGCCTAAGCCCACCCTAAAATACTCATGTCCCTCCTTTAAGGTTTTTTTTCTCTCTCTTTCTTTTTTTAACACATTCTATCATCCTCAAATCAAAAACTTCATACTTTTCTTTTTTTTAGTCTGATCACTACAAAAGTAATAAGCTACATTTGAATTGTTTTTCATCTGTAGCACAAACTGAAGCTTAATACTTTGGGTTAGGGGTTAGTTCAAATCCCTAACCGTAAGAATGAACAATGGAAAAAGATTTTCAAACACCACAAATGAAATGTCACTGAACAAAGGCAGTAACTAAATATAATTCAACACACACTGCCCTACATAATTTGCTAAATATATGCAAGTTTAACTATACACACAGAACAGCAGCAACACATGAAA